AAAAAAAAAAAAAAGAATGACAAAGCCACTAGTCCAGTGATTAACCAGATTCATCCATTCTGGCCACTTTTCTACCGAGAACCTCAACTTCCGCATACTGATATCGAAATCTCACTTGATGCAGTGCATAATTATTAAAAGTAAAGATACTTGACATATACACAGAATTACTCATCCATTTTTGAAAAAAATTCTTAGCTCTTAAAATTTATTGAGCGTGTGCATGTGTGTGCGCACCTGCGGACAGCCACAATTTCTCTCCCTCACCCGTCCGTTCTCCAAGTCCATCCTCCGGTCTGGTGGAATGCGTGCTGAGTTTCACAAATGTGCTGGGAGCACAGAGGTAGCAGAAAAACCAGGAAGCCACCACCTTTTGACCCTCAGCCTAACTCTGCCTGGTCGGCTCCCAGTGTTTTCAACAGCCTCCATTTCCATTAAGGAACTCAGACTGGAACCTGCAAGAAGTGAAGGTTTCTAGTTTCTGGCAGGATATCATGGAATTTCTGGTGCCAAAAAAGTTGGTTCCCTGATGAGGCTGTTTTCACCAGACACTAAAACAAATGGTCAATTCAGTTGCTTAATTGGGGAAAACATTACTCCAACCAGCTTCCTGGCATCTGTTATTCAAGATGACCAGTTTTTTTTTTTTTTTTTTTTTTTTTACTAAATGTTCAATTTTCAAAGTTATCAAACATTATGTAGACACAACACTAAACTAGACATTAGTCACCAGTCCAAAACACAGATGAAGCATAAAAATAATGAAATTATGGAGAATTCAGTAGAGTAGGGTAAGTGAAGATGCAGGGAAGGAGGGAGAGAGAGAGAGAGAGACAGAAAGAGAGAGAGAGAGAGAGAGATACACAATATATGAAAGTGAAATGAACCTAACAAGTTTTTCCCCCTTAATCAAAGCCAGATAATATTCTCCTACTGTATTCTACCTGGTACACACTATCAGCAGAAAGCTCATACGAGGAAATCTCACATGCACACAAATAGAAAATGTTTGTGGACCATTCTTTGAATACAAAGTTTTCTTGTTTTCCAGCACCATTCCAACCTTAACTCATTTTTCCTGAAATTGTTTCCTATGTTTTTCAAACACATTATTAAACAGAACAAAAAGAACAGACTGAAAGGAAAACATTCCCACAAGAATGGTTTTTGAAGACTTTAATATTACAACATACTCCGTTACCTTCCTCTTCTCTCTTCTCACGATCCAGTTCTGACCTGCCACACCACGTGTTTATGTTTTTTACACCTGCTTTCATTGGTTTTGACAAGGAAGGGAACCCAGAGAGCCAAACTGACGTGAGAAAAATGGTTGTTTCATTCCTTCTGGCCCATGGCAGAAGGGGAAATATTCCCATTTCAAAAATAGCGTGTTCTCAAGAGATTTCCATCTTAATTTTAAGAAATAGTGGACAGCGTGGGCTAAAGATGGCAAAATACACTATGGACACTACTGGAATTAGCATCCAGTTAAACTAGGTGGACGTGAGGTTTTCAACATGCTTAGGAGAGCAGTTTATTTTATTTTCGGCAAAAGATGACACCCTGTTTCTAAGCTTTCATATTTAAGGTTCTGTGGAAAAGCTTGAGGGATTTATATACCAGAAGTTGCTTTCAATAATTAAGTTCACTACTTAATATATTCATAAGTCAACCTTAAGGGCATTAGTTATGGATTTAAAGCTATGATGAAAAATAGTTGGTGTGGACCTTCGTGTTCTCATATTAAGTATATGTGCTGCCGAAGCGAGCACATCGTGTTCTCATATTAAGGAAGTTAATCTATCATCTCACTAAGCAATGGGAAGATAATTTCAGGCAGATGTCAAATTTGCTTTTGTCTTCATTTGAGACTTCTTAGTAGCCGGGCGGTACGAAAAGAGATCAGAGAGATACACATCACATACTCAACAGGAGAAAAACAAACCTTTGCTCCCCACGGGGCGCATTCACCTGGTAGCGTGTAATGTACATAAGCACTAACCTGAGTCACTGCAAATAGATGACAAATTGCAGACATTTCCCTGGGGTTTGACTCCTGCAAAGAAAACACGACCCAACGGGTTAAACATGTCATCAAGAGAATTCACAAATGTACATATCAAACGTGGACCAAAAATATGCTAAGTTGGCTACAACTGGCTGGATGAATTCCACAAAGGCTAAAGAAATGAGTTTTCGTTTCTTAGTTGGCCAGCTCCAGAACTTCCTTCTTTACTATGGTTCAGTATGTCACTCACTGTCTGATCCCCTACTCCTCCCTAAAAATATTTTTGGACCATTCCAAATTAATCCCTCCCCTGTCCAATATAAAAAGAACAGTGTGAATGCAAATCCAGTATAGAGACTTTAAGTGGAACAGCCCTTACTCAGAGATCCTCCTTCCTTTCCTGGGCAGGGGAGTCCATGAACACTCTAATATTTCCTTGTGCAAATGTATGTAAGAAATAACACCAATGTCATGATGTTATTGCACCTAGGCAACAACGACAAAACTCAAAAACTATTTGCTGAACAACTACCGTATTCGACAGGCTTTGGAATGTTGCAGATACAGACCCTACCCTCAATGAGCATACAATCTAGGAAGCGATACTGGCCAGAAAATAAACAGTTATGGGGGCGCCTGGATGGCTCAGTCGGTCAAGCGTCCGACTTCGGCTCAGGTCATCATCTCACGGTTCGTGGGTTCGAGGCCCGCGTGGGGCTCTGTGCTGACAGCTCAGAGCCTGGAGCCCGCTTCGGATTCTGTGCCTCCCTCGCTCTCTGCCCCTCCCCCGCTCATGCTCTGTCTCTGTCTCAAAAATAAATAAACATTAAAAAGAAAAAAAAGTCATAGTGAAGGCAAAATGGAGACACAGCCAGGACAACAAACTATACAGGCATACGAAAGAGGCAGAGATGAATGGGAGATGAAATAAGCCATGTGAGGACAAAACATTCCATACATATTCACCTAAAAAGCACTTTCTTCTTTGGTGAAAGGAGACGTACATCTTCTTTGATTTGAAAAGAGCTCCAGGTTTACTCCCCTAAAAATCTTGCCTTCATTAATTTCATCCTTTTGGCGAAGTGTAAGAAAACCACAGCAAATGTGAGGGGCAAATGCTCGTCATGTATTCAGCAAAGTGCCAAGAGGGAAAGGTTGTTATGGAGTATTTTGCTGTCCTTGTTAGGTCTGGTTTGGTCAGAATTACGTATGCAATGTCTGATTGCTATTTTATCTCCATTGTGCTTTTTGGGTGCTTAATTGTTTCTGAAGAGAACAACTCTGGACACAGACTAAAATTATAACTTGTGTTTAGTGCATGGGAAATGGTTTCTGCCAGGGTGATTTAGTTGGTGCATAGGCATCACCCTTCAACTAAGAGTTGTGATTCTGGGGGCAAACTGAATTTAGGTGCCAAAAGTTATCTGACGTGTAGAATTCTATACTGTTTCACAGCTACGTTACCCACACCAAAAGATAAAGATTTCGACTTAAGTATACCTGGTTGAGATGGTGGCTAGTAATGCTTTCAGTGTTCTCCAGAACTATGGGTCTAGTCCCCACTAAACGTTACATTCTATCATCTCTCATCTTTCTCTAAATTTTAGTGGCAGCTTCGTTTCCAGGGGCGTGTGTCTTGGGCTGCTCGTTAATCTTGAGAATTTTCTTTCCCATTGCTAGGGCTGTTACCTGTAATTTCCCCCAAAGTACACAGCCACTGTTCATCCTTTAAGTCATGAACGAGACAACTTGGTAAAGGGTCAAATAGTAAGTATTTTAGGCGTGGTGGGCCATATAGTCTCTGTCACAACTACTCAACTCTCCTGTTCACTGTATTGGAAATTCACCACAGATAACATGTCAACAAATGGGCATGGCAGTGTTCCAATAAAACTTTATTTACAAAACTAGATGGTGGGCCATAGTTGCCCCTTAGGCCGTAGTTTGCCAACCCCCGTTTTAAATCAACCAGAAGACTTTGTTAAGCAGATCAGGTATCCCTACCCTTGCACTCGGTACTTAAAAGTTTATCCCTTTTTTGATTTCAAAAGAGAATGAGGTTCAGTCCTCTAAGAATCTTTCCCTCATAAATTCTATCCTGTTGATGACCACTAACACCAGCCCTTTTATCTCCCACGCTTCTTAACCATGTCAGAGACACTTGTGTAGTCTTTTGCCTTTATCTGCATACGTGTTCAGGTTAGTTATCTGTTTGTTTGCCTTGTCTCTCCCCAAGCGAGCAGATTCCTAAGGGTGGGCATTGTATCTGATCATGATTACACAGCCCCAAACGCTTAGCACGACTTCAGGTACCCAGAGCATAAATAGGTAAACATCTATTCATTAAGAACAGATTGCATTTTTAAAAGATAGGAAAAAAAGAGAAAGAAAACATAAATACCAGCCATGTGTTTAATTTTACTTTAGTTACAAAAAAGAAAGTCTTGATATTGATAGTAAGTCATACCTGATGCATTGAAGGTTTTTACTATAGTGATTTTAGTTTTTTCTGCAAAGAAGCAATTTAAATATTAGAGCAGAATTGTTGCTTGTTTTTAAAAAACAATTTGCCACGAGTATCATTTTAGTGAAGTGCTAAGAAAATCACACTGTTGACACCTTTACGACGCTACTGGTCATCCCAGCAGCAGAATACATGGGAATCGCATACACAGATCATATAGCCTTGGAACAGGGTGGGGCTGGGATTTGGATTCCCATGTTTACCCAGTTATTTCACACCCATTACACCCCCCGCTGCTTGTGTAATTCTACTGCACTTTCCATGCGCTGCTGCTAGACAAATCAACGTGGACTTACACTTCAGATAGGTACAATTAAGTAAGTCACTTCGAGTGGCAGGTTGTAAAGAACCGGTGATTCAGAGTAAAAAATGAATGGAAACACAAGATCTAAAATAGTGTATGCTCTACAATCAAGGGAGTGTCCTGCTATTTTCTTTAGGAGCTAATAAAATATTATTGCCATTATAGCGATAAGATAAAATTATTCTCAAAGAGGTTGAAACGATCCAACTACAGTTGTCCAGCAGGCTCACAGCAGACCCAGGACAGAACTGTTCAAACCACAGGCAAATATTAACACACTCAGAAGAAGCAAACCTTAGAAATGTGTTCCCAATGCACTTTGGGGACATAGTCCGTGGTTCATTTTTCAGATAATGGAGACCCAAGTTCAGAAATCCTTGCTGTAAGGATGGCCAATTAGAAGAGGTATGTTGGGGCATAGATTTGCAAAGAAGGTCTGTCTCCTAGGGTGAGTGGCAAATTCTGAAGAAAACACAAAGCTCAGGTCTTGGAGAAGCACTTAAGAATGATGACATTACACCAACAGTTGCAGAAACCTCATTTGTGTTATGTGTTACATTGATGAGTTTCCATTTCACTGTGACTGACCCATGGGCAATGGTTGGTGGTAATCATAGAGGCTGACGGTATTTTGCATTATCAATAAGAATCTTTTAAATATCTTATTTTGTTTGCCCTGATACTTTCCTTCCCAGAGCAAGCAAAACACATCTGTGAAATGAACTTCCGGTTTTAGTAACAAAAGTGCTTTTGGGGAAAAATGTTCAACCTCACCAACAATCAAGACTGTAAAATAGAACCTAAGGAATTGAAAGGTCTAATAATATATGGCATAGTCTCAACTCTGAGCAAAGGTACAGTGACACAGACATTCTCATTCACTGCCGGCACGCATGTTGCTGGGTACAACCTTTCAAGAAGGTAATTGGGCAACATGCAGATCGAGGACCTTAAAATACTCATCATGCTAACCCATTAAATCCAATCCTTGGAATGCATCCTACAGAAATCAGGAATGAATGTAAGATGTTGACACAAGGATGTTCATTGCAACAATTTCTATTAAAAGAGTAGACACAGCTTTAATAATGTTCAACATATGGTACGCAATGGAATATTATCAAGTCATTAAATGGTAAGGGGCAGTGGAAAATACTTAGAATTCAATATGAAATCAAAAGGGCAAGACATAAAATTCCATATAAACTATGACAATTTTGTAAAAGAGATAGATATATACACATATGTGTGTGTGTGTATATATGATACATGTATATATGATTCTGAATGGAAATATACCAGTAATAGTCTTAAGAAAGTAATATTAGAGATGATTTCTATTTTTTCTTTGCATTTTTCTATATTCTCCATTTGTTACGAGCTAAGATACATTACGATTATAATGTTTAATGTTATTTTAAATGGAGTGCTATGGCCGTAACAGTTTGGAAGTTCAGGAATGTGATAACACCAGAATTACTGTTCAATGTCAAAGTAAAACAAGTAGTGACTCAACAAATGAAGGCACAGGAAGTGGGCAAGGAGATAACCTTTAGCAACCCAGAAGACTGACCACACAAGCGAGAAACCCAAGAAGGCAGAGAGGACAAACTATGCTATTTAGCAAGAACTTGATATTACCTGTTTTGTTTAAAGTGGATAATACACTCGAAGTAGCATCTGAAATAATGAAAGAGAAGTGAAGCCTAATTATTGACATGATTAACAAACACGTGCATTGTCTAGGTTCCTTAAACATTTCACTTCTCCCCAAATCCTAGAGAAGTTAGAGAGTTTCGCAAAAGCCAACCGACACTACCAAACGTATTTACTGCTCACCCCGCCACACTGTCCATTCTCCAACCCCCAGACACCATTCCTGAGCAAGTATTCATCCTTTTAAAATGCATTTCTTGAACAGAGGTGATGTGTCTAAAATAGAGCAACACTCCTATAATTATTAGATTGAAATAATCCCATTTATGTTTCATATTTTGTCCCTGTTTTACTCCATTATAATAAAAGTCCCTACGGGATACGATGTTTCCAGTTAATACCAACTTTAAGATACAGCCCTGGGGATGCTGAATGGTACACTCTTAGGAAGCAATCTTTAAGCGATTCTAGTTTAACATTAAAGTTCTTGAACATTACATTTAAGTAATTTTTAGAAACGCCTCATTTTGACCTGTTTCACTGAAAGTTCCGTTGAAAATCTGTTCTAATTGGTATTTCTTTAAATAAAAATCATTCTATAATATATTATTCTGGATGCAACTTTAGGGGTGAAAAGGCATGTATTACATTAAGTAATGTATGACATTACTTAAAAACCCACATACAATGGATTCAAAACCCACTGCCAAAGGTATTTTGAAGGTGTCCTTTCGCTGTAAAAAGTAATTAAACATAAAAATGATAATATCGGGGCGCCTGGGTGGCGCAGTCGGTTAAGCGTCCGACTTCAGCCAGGTCACGATCTCGCGGTCCGTGAGTTCGAGCCCCGCGTCGGGCTCTGGGCTCATGGCTCAGAGCCTGGAGCCTGTTTCCGATTCTGTGTCTCCCTCTCTCTCTGCCCCTCCCCCGTTTATGCTCTGTCTCTCTCTGTCCCAAAAATAAATAAACGTTGAAAAAAAATTTTTTTAAATGATAATATCTAGTCCTTCCCATTAGACCAAGTTGAATTTAAATTTAGTTTAAATTTTGACTGCACAAAGATGGAGGCTGTCTACCCACAGAGCGGGGGGCACAGAATGTGCTCTCCTGTCCACCTCCCTCCAACACAGCCCAGTTCTCTAGGATGATGAAGAAGGCCGGTTGTTGTCTTTTCATGTCAGACTATTTAAAATTGATACAGTCGTCTGGAAAAGGGCTATCTTTGAACACTCTGTGCCTCCAAATCCATGCCGAAGCATACTGAGGTCACTGGATGTGCTTTTCACATTTAAACAACCTGCCATATAAAATGTGCTGGCGCTGTGTTGGAGAGCAAGTTAAACAGGGCACTCAAAATGCGATCAATATTTCTCTTCTTTTACAGAACAGTTAGCGTGGGAGGGGGCTGTCCGCCCTCCATGCCAATAAGGATATTTTCATTTGGCCAAAAAGTTTCAGTTGTTCTCCACGGTTGATGGTTTTGGGGGTTTGTTTGATTTGGGGTTTTTTTGTTTGTTTATTTGAATATAAAAACCTTCAACAGCACTCATTATACTTTTATTCACATTAAGTGTTATCAATTTTCACTTGCTTCAGAAAAATTCTTACCATTCAGGCTTGTAGTTTCAACCTCTTTGGCCCCGAGGGGGGGGTGGGGGGAAACAGCAAAAAGGTTTAATCAAATCACAAACTTAACAAAGTGGGTGAAAACTTGGTTTGAATTTTTTCAAAATCTTGCCTGCAGCAGTACCATTGGAGTAGGGGACAAAACCAACAAGAGATGATTCAGCTGTAAGAGGAAAAATAACAACAAAATTTTCTAGTTAATACTTTGAAACAATTATTTATTGCATTTTAAAGGAATTAAAACTTTTGAGACGAATTATGCAAACAAGCAGACAACATGCTCTCAGACCAATGTGAATCTGCAAGCCCCATAACCACTCGAGAATATACACTTCATCAGAGAATTGCTGAGAAAGAACCCAAGAAGTGAAAGAAGCACAGCTGTTTCCTTTTACAGATGAAGAAGTTGACCCCTGCTGCCTCAAAGCCTGCTCCTACCTATTGAATATTAAGGAAATAAGTTCAGAAACCACAGCAAAATATGTGACATACTACTTTCAAATCTTTTCAGCCAGAGAATTCTAGAAAACATTTTCTACGTTAAATATTTGTCAAACTACAGGGGCGACTGGGAGGCTCAGTCACTTGAGCGTCCAGCTTCAGCTCAGGTCATGATCTCGCGGTCCGTGGGTTCAAGTCCCGCGTCGGGCTCTGTGCTGACAGCTCAGAGCCTGGAGCCTCCTTCTGATGCCGTGTCTCCCTCTCTCTCTCTGGCCCTCCCCTGCTAGCGCTCTGTTTTTCTCTCAAAATAAAATAAAGCCATAAAAAAAGTAAAAAAAAATTTGTCAAACTACAATTATGAAACATAGCAGCAGATCGGCTCCATTCTGTTAAGAGTGACGCCTGGCAACTCTTCCCATAGTGAATTGAGGATTATAAATAAATAAATAAATAAATAAATAAATAAATAAATAAATAAATAAAACAAACATTGCTATCACTCACCACTGTACTACCTAATACAATTTCCTAGTAAGTTATTTTAAAATATGGCTGCCACTAAGACAATCAAGTTATAAATTTCCTGTGGAGTATGTCCACTTACGCTAAGAGGTCAATCTACTGCATACATTTTGCATGTTTAAATATTAAAAAGATCCGATGGCTTCACTCGTACAGTATACACAGGAAAAGTAAACACAAACCTTTTACAAGTGATACAAGCTCTGCAGTAGGCAGCCTGATATTCAGCCGGTGAGGACAACATTTGGGTGTGTCGAGGCGCTTGGCTGGCCTGTCTGTGTCAGACTGCTCATGTGTTGGCTGAAACACACACACCCTGTCTGTCTTACATTATTGCTTCCATGTTTTGTCATTTACTACATTTTTTTTTAATTACCAAGGATATTTCTTGAGAAATAAGACAGTTCCTGAGCAAACAGATTCAAAGTGTGAATATGGAATCCTTTGCTCTTGGGGCAAAACAAAACAATGGGCCAAAGCTGTTTTTCAGTTAATGAGTATTAATTCTTCTGGAAGTTGATGAGTGGTAAGAAGAGGCCCGTGGGCACAAGCACCTGTCAGTTCCTGGATGTGCACAGGTTCTTACATTCCAGTGAGTGTCACTCTCCCGCAAGGCACCCAGAACCCAGGCTGTGACTGGAACCAGTGGGTGCCTCCAAAGCTCCATACCCCATATTTCCATGCAAACAGGATTTTGCTAAGATATGACCATGATTAAGTCTGATGCCGGCTATTGAACTAGAAGTAAAATACAGTGGTTCATTTTACCCTAGCAGCTTAACAGCAAGGGGGCAAATCGGTGCAGTGAAAACAGTTTGGGCTCTGGAGGCTCGCAGTCCTGGGTTTGAATCTTTGCCCCATTACTTAGTAGTTCATAATAATAGTTATTACTTATTGAGGGTTTACTCTGTCAGGTGCATAGGTCATCTCATTTCATCTTCACAACTACCCTATGAAGCTGGTACTGTTACAGTCCCCAATTTATAGATGAAGAAACTGAGGCACAGAAAGGTGAAGAAACTTGCCCAAAGACACACAGCTAGCAATGGAGGCGAGAGGCTGGTGGCTGAGTTCAAACACAAGTAAGTAGTCTGGCTGCCCAGAATGTGGGAACATGAGCAAGTTTTATCCTCTCTGACCCTCAGTTTCCTCATTTAGAACCTGAATATAATAATTCCTATACTGCAAGACTGGAAACTGAATGAGATGTCTGAAGACTCCCAAGCATGTATATATATGTGCACAAGAAGTAACAGCTATCATTATTAATTTTTACTTATTTTTAATTAATTTATTTATTTATCTTGAGAGAGCGCGCGCACACAAGCAGGGGAGGGGTACAGAGAGAGAGAAAGAGGGAGAGAATCTTTATTATTATTTTTAATGTTTATTTATTTTTGAGAGAGACAGAGACAGAGCGTGAGC